GGCCGCGGTGGGACCCGGGCCTGCGCAGCCGGGGAACGTACTTAAGCTTTCATTTATTTTATTTTATTTATTTGATTATTTTTATTTGTTTTTCCCCTGGGGTTCTCTGTGTAAACATGCCAGTGGCCGAGAAAGGGTTGGCTGGAGGAGCAGGGGGAAACACTCGCCTTTTTGACGCCTAGATAAGCGCTGTCCGGTCACGTTTTCCTTTCTGTGCACACGCAGCTGCTTCCTGTCTCACGAAGAGGCTTTGGGAACTCTTGCCTTGCTTGTTCTCATACCGTGTCTTTCACCTAGGGTTCGTCACCGCACCTGCTGCTTCTCGACTCACCTCGGATGAAATTATTCAGATGCGCAATGAGCTCTTCACCAAAGAGAAGGAGCGGCAGCTAGCTCTGCATCCACGCATTGAGAAAATTGAAGTGAAGTACGTCGGAAAATCTCACCCCGGCACTGTTTTTGTAATGAACAAAGCGCTGTCTACTCCGTACAACTGTGCCATGCGTAAGTGAGCTGAGGCTGTGCCCTTGGCAGAGCCATGCTGCCGAGCGTATCGTGTAAAGTACTATAACCAAACCTTAAATGTCAGGGGTGTTGTGATTTTGGTGACCGCACTAGGTGGTCAAAATGTTTATATTTGGTAGGTTAAGAATACACCTGTATTAAAAACATCTGTAACCTAGTAGGAGCTCAGCTAATTTATAAAAATTTTTGTATTTTCTGTAATAGCTTATCTTCCCAGTCTTTTGCAGAAGTAAAATTCACAATTTGTTTTTAAATATTCAGGGGGCTATACTACTGACTTTGAGGAATAATGTTTATAATTGTGTTTTTTGTTTTTGTGTTTTCTCTTCATTTTCTTTAGACTTAAGTGAATGGCATTGTAAGAAATCGGTACTAGCTCTTGTGGATGGCGAAGTCTGGGATATGTATAGACCCTTGACCAAGCCATGTGAAATTCAGTTCCTTACTTTCAAAGATCAAGATCCAGAGGAAGTAAACAAGGTAAGTCTGTGTCTTACACAATTACAGGTAACTGATTATGGTCATGAGGGCCTGTGTGCCTCTTTCACTTCCATGAAAGCCACTTCGGCTTCCCTGAGTTTTGTCATGAAGGTTTAGGTATTTTTAACCTAAATTGCATTGTACATCATGGTTAAAGATAATTGGATGAGGGTGTTGGGCTAGGTGGTGTGCAGAGACTCGTTTCAATTTATGATATTGTAAGATTTCAGATTTAAATATCTCTGGGGAAATATCTGCAGTTTTGGTTTGTGTTGGTTGTTTTAATTATTTCTAAATGGAAGTTTAAATTCTAAAGAATAAAATGGTTGAATGGACTGTTGAGCTTATGTCTAATTCTGTTAAATGTTGGTATTCTTTTGTAACAAATAGCTGATTTCTATCCGGTATGGGTTGTTGGCCTCTCAGTAATGAGTCTGTGTTCTGAAATTCCCTTTCCAGGCCTACTGGCGTTCCTGTGCCATGATCATGGCATGCGTGCTAAAGCGAGCTTTCAAAGATGAATACTCAGTGACTCTGATTAAAAGTCCAGAAGTACCAGGTGATACAAATATTTCATAATTTATAGTCTTCTCTCTTGCTGTGTTTCAACGTGTGTCTGGGAAGTAGTGTTACTTAACAAATCAGAGGCTTCGTCTCCAATGACAGAAGGGACTTAGCATAGATAAATCATGGAGTCATGGAATGATTGAGCTTGGAAGGGAGCTCTGGAGATCATCTAGTCCAACCCTCTGCTCAAGAACCTCCTCCTTTTTTCCCCACAACAAAGATGACGGGATGTTTGTCTTAGCCTTTAAATGTCATCAGTGTATTCAAGTAATCCAGAATTTATATTGGATTATGTTGTTAGGCTTTAAAGCATGTTGATTTAGTGACCTGTACATGAACAGGTAAGATATATGTCTGCTCTGAAGGGGCCTGTATGGACTGGAGAAACTATGGTAGCCTTTCTTCCTAAACTGTTTATTCAAATATTTATTCTGAAGCAGTGGATTTGCACTATGCTTTGAAGATGTCAGCGCCCTTACCCGGCCTGATATTATTAGGAGGGAGGACAGGATAAGATGGTCTCCAGTCCTAGATGCTCCACTGAAAGAGTAGTATCAGAAGAGTAGTGCAATATATCGTAGTTATTTAATTTACAGTAGCCATGTTGAATCTAGTTTTTTTGTCATGGTACAGAAAGGTTGTGGGAACTGAATTTTGGGGCACTTTTGACTTTGTAGGTTGTTAGCCGCTTTAGGGAGGCAGTCAATCCCTATGGGACCCTATCTATGGTGGAGTAACACGAGGAAGGCACCCTAGAAAATATGGTATCTTTCTGTGAAATTTGCCCTAGTAAATCTGCATAATTTTGTGAGCACCCGATTTACTAAAAATTGCTATATGTAACTCAAAGCTGGAAGCTTGCTGAAGTATAGATGGAGTTTTGCTCGTATGTGGTCTGATCTAAAACTACAAAAGCGAGAAGACAAACAGAGGAGAAATTATTTGACTGATAAAGCCTGACTCCTTACACACTGGATATATAAGTAGATTTTGGTAGATTGCTGGTCAGTTGATCACTAGTGGTGCCCTTTTAGTAGTTTCAGAATTTGGCTTGATTGTCTGGTGAGCACAGAGTACTTTGGTTCTACCAGGATTTGGAGTAATCTTGCATACTAAATTACATGATTTTAGTTAACATACAGGAGTAGTGTGAGTTTGCTGTGTTCATGAGCTTGATTTTTAAAATCACAATAACTGAATAAATACACATGAACAGAAAACAGAATAAGTAGATCTTATACTAGGCACTTCAATTCCGGCTGCCTGTGTCATGAAAAAAACATTTTATTTTATCCCTAATGTTGTTTAATGTCTCTAAGCAAAAATTTTTCTTTATAAACTTTATAACTGGACAGCGCAATTTTACTTTTAATGCGTGTTGCACACAAAGGGAAAGATGTAAAAAGCTCTCAAAATGAGGTTTCAATTTTTCCCCCAGTTTTAAGAAATTGGGAAAATTTGGGGATACAGCACTTTTTTTAATGTGGATGTGTACTAGCATCATTAAAAATAATTTGACATAATTATTTTTCATGCAGTGAAATGAAAATGATACAATTTTAATCTGACATTTGATCACAGCTGAAAACTTAGATTGTTTTAATGGATTTTTTTTGTGCTCATTCTATTTCTCATTCATTTTCATATATTTAGAAGAATGTTTATAAATATTAGAAACTATTTTTTCCCTCTTTGTAATTACAGTGATCTCTGGAGCTTTCTGCTATGATGTGACTTTAGACAGTAGACTCAATGACTGGAAACCAACAAACGTAAGCACAATAACCTCTCCTTTGAAAAACTGTATAGCTTACGTCATTGTCAGATGTATTGTTGTTTATTTTTCTTTTTTTGTGGAGAACTTGTATTTTTTTTTTCTTGACAGGGAGTATATGCTTAAAAACACATTAAGCACAAAATAAATCACATCAGTGTTTTATTTTAGATCAGGAATATGCTTTGGTAGCTAATCTCCAGCACTTACTGTATGTGGCTCTCATTGCAGTGTGGTGTCGGAGCATGTAAACTGGATTCCTTTCAGATAAAATTCTTAGGGAGTGGAGCTAGAGTAGTTCTACCTGAAAATAAAATTCCAAGAACATGGTTAGTGTGGCTGTTGGGACCTCAGTGCCTTCTATATTTATACAGATTTGCTCATCTTCAGTCATGCTTACTTGGTAATGTAGGTGCAGCCATAGGCATGTAACATTTATGTGAACATAACCCTGTGAGATTAAAAGTGTAATTTGTGTATTTGCAGCATGTTTCAGTGCCTTACTGCAAAATTAAATTATTAAGAGACTCTTGAGCACATTCAGTTGAAACACTCCTTTAATAGTTTGTATTTTATGCTCCTCAGTACATCTCACCCTCTACAACCTTTTAAGTCTTTTAACTGTTTAGTGGTCTGAGTGATGATGATTATTTTACTTTTCTGATGCCTATTCTTGTTCTCACATCCAAGCATCAGGAGAAATACGTGGCTAACAAAGCAATATTAATAAAATGCTGATTTTTTTTTTCTTCAATATGACCTTGTAGTTGAAGTAACTTAGTTTGAAATAATTTTGAAGTGACATTGCACATCTGCTACATAGCCTGTACTGATACTTTCTTATTTAGTGACAAATCAGAGTATGCAAAGCTTTTGTTTGTGGGCAAGACAGTCAGCTTCTATTTGTTAATTATTCACTCCTTCTTTCCTCTTTTTCCATCAGAAGAGAGGTAATTTCTCACAGAGTCTTGATTCCATTTATAAGCAGGATACAAAGTACTTAACAGAAGCAAGTTTGTGTGCATATATCAGGTTGGGAGAACATGAGGAGTTTAAGTTGAATTAATGTATGTTGAGTCTGGTGGGAAAACGCCTATTGATTTCACGGGGTACTAAATCAGTGCATGCAAATGGTGATCATCTTTAGCATCAGGTAGCTGATGATAGAACTAAAGCTCTTCATATTTGCGATATTCTTACATTTAGGATCTGCAATAGATAGTACTGAAAGCAGTCAGAATCATCTGGTGTCTTCCTATGCTTATCTATTAAGTGTGGCTGAGAAACAGTGGTGACAGTCTCTTTAAGTATAAATTCCTGTTTTTAGGACGACTTCCGTTCTCTTACAAGGGATGCCAATAAGCTAATTCATAAAGACCTCCCATTTGAAGCACTGCATGTTGAAGCAAAAGTAGCATGTGAAATGTTTCAGCATAACACGTAAGTGTCTGAGTTTGTTTTAGAAAGGCACTTAGAGATTCAATTTAATCTCTGTTGTTTCATATAAGTCAAAATAATGTGTGACAGATGAAGAAAGAAGATTCTTCTTCCACTGCTCTGAGCATGTTTCTCTTGTATTGGTTATACTGGCTGATCTCATCTTTCATCTTCTCTTTGAAGACCAACACTAGGCACCTATACCGGATGTAATGTCACAGGAAATGGAAAGTTAGTTTAATATGAAGCTTCAAGGTTTCGTCAGTTCTGTGTTGGAGGAGCTCTGGGTGGTTAGACTCTGCATGCTACTTTACTGTTAGCTTTTGAAAGGCTTTCATATTCAAAGAAATGTAGAGTTTTCATTTTTTTGTAATTTTTCAAATGAAGGTTTGGTGCCGTACTGGAAGGGGCTGTTTGTCGATAAATGTTATTCAGCTCTACATGGGAGTAATGGTTGAAATTTCCTGGCCTTTGATATAGAAGGTCAGCTCAAGGCACTCTTTGTCCAGTCTTCTTAGCTGAAAGGTCACTTAAGCAGTATTTCAGGGTATTCTGGTGACTGGGGAGAGATTGGGCAAAATGATTAATAGTGTATCATTTTGTGAACCAGAACAGAATTTTGTTTGATGTTGAATTTGTTGTGAAGTAATGAGCATTTTTAGATTCATAATCCAGGTATTATTAATGTGACCCGCAGACTATCTGTTTGCTGTATTGGCTACTGGGCATTGACAGCAGTTGGGAGCCCAGCTCCTGGAAATGACTTTATGCACCGTGTGTGCAAAGAGCACAGACCATTCTGTGCTATCTTGCAGACTGCCAGTTGTTTGGGATCGCCCAATGTATAAAATTAGTTCAGGTGATCTGATCATACCTTCTAATCTTAATGTCTGACTTGAAAAATTGGTATCTTATTGGAAGTAATAAGTTACTTTTAGCTTTCTGAAGAAAACTACCTTGAGAGAGCATGGCCTTCCTGTGTATGTTTTATTCAAACGTCAACACACTTTGGAATATGAAATTAAGAATTTAAAACTGCTTCCAAGTTCACGTAAATGTGAACATGATTTTTAAAAAATGGTCCTGTCTCTAAGTATTCTCACAAGAATTACGTATCAAAGATGAGAGTTTTTTTAATCTTTTTTTTGTCTTGTTCAGATACAAAATGGAGATGATAAAACAGAAAGCTTTGCAGAACACTGAAGGAATTGTAACATTACATAGGTGAGTAAAACTAAAGCTCCGTTTTGTAATGGTCTTCTGAAAGATACATTTATATTGCAAGTAATATCTGCAAGCAAGAATGGTAAGTTGATTTTGATAGTTTTTAAATTATCATTATATATTATAAATTTAATTTATAAAGTGCTAGGAAGTCTTACTACTTATAATGTTGTTTTTTAAACTCTAAATAAATCCCTAGAGCTTGCAATGTAAATGAAATATGAGCCAATTACTTGTTTAAAAATAAGTGCCAATATTGTTTAGTGGATTTTTTTTGAAACAAAGTTGTCAATCTTTACATAAAAGACAAGCTACTGTCCTGTAGCTTTGGAGGTGAGTATGGAATTGGGTCCTAAGATGCAGCCTAAGATGTAAAATTCTTAGGCTGGAGGTAAGAATCTTACAGTTGCAAATGAACGTAAGTACTTGCAGTGATGGCTTTTTAAATTTTAGAGCACTCTTAGGTCTGCTCTTCCTACCTTCTTCCTCTCCTACCACTCTTTAGTTGTTGAGCAAAAAGAAAGTAAATGGGCTTAACAGTTAATGCCTGGGAGAAGAGTATGTTCAAAAGATTCTTTTGTTATATATATCTTCCTTTTGTGTCTTTTTTTTTTAAAAATTTTGTGACAATTCTACAAAACAAGACATGACAAGAGAAGGCCTGTGCAGGTGATAAACATTAGATTGCTGGAAATGTGTGATCTTGGTGACAAATCCTTCTCTGGCTTATGATAGAATTATGCCACTAGAAAGCCACCATCGCTCCAAAGATTTGGATAAGCCTAGGATCTTGATAGGTGGTTTGGATTTTCTAAATTCATTTTAGAAAACAGTGCTTCTGCTGCAGAAACTAGAAATGATGAACTGGTGAACTGGGATTGGTTTGGAAATTGTGGGGTTCTTTGGTTTATTTGTTTTAATTTTTTTTTTTTGATCTTTTATATATATATATATTTTGCCATCCTCAGGTTTGGAGATTTCGTAGATGTTAGCGAAGGCCCTCACATTCCGAGGACAAGTTTTTGTTACCAGTATGACATAACAGCAGCCCATAATCTTCAGACTGACCAACCTGAGTTGATAAGGAGGTTCCAGGGTGTATCCCTGCCCATTCATTTAAAGGTAACTAATCTATTTTCTCTCTCCCTCTGTGTATATATATAAAAATATTTATATATTTCTTCTAAAGAAAGGGCATTTGGCCTGTGTTCAGATCAGAGGTGATGTGCGCAGTAGTAGAAAATGAAGGCCAGGGATAGTGACAGCCTTGATTACTGGAGGTTAATTTTCCTGGGACTGTTTTGAATGTGAAATCAAAACTTCAAATGTGCATCAGATCCCAGTGTTGAAAATGTGGTTTTTGTTTTGTGCTGCGTAGATGTATTTTGTTTTTAATTGCACCTGCCAGCCACTTTCCATGCCACTGTTTATTCAGAGTCAGAGAAAAAGCAGAACTGAGTTTATACTCATGGTAAGTGATGTCACATCATTGCATTCTAGCAATAATCTGTGTGAACGTTGGCTTTGCAGAACTGTTGGTGGGAACAGGAGTGCATTTTCCTACCTCCGCTGACTTGTATGATTTGACCTACAGTAGGGGAATTTTCCAGGGACAAGTGGCCACTAGGTTCCTTGCTTCTGCTTCATGTTCCTTTCCGTATCCCTCCCTCACACCATTTGAATTCCCGTTTTTACTCTTCAGCGATTCCATAATATACAGGAAGTACATGTGACGAGCAGTGATTGAAGTCCTCCCTAATCCGCTAAAGTGACATGAGCAAGTCGGACATTTGGACAACAAGTTGTGGTTTCTGAATTAAGGATTGTTACTTTTTGTGCCATCATGCTTATATAAGTCAGTCAAAAACTATTTTATAGTAAAAACTTTTTTTTGCCTATAGTAATATCACTCAATGTCTTTAAATACAGGCTCACCATACCGTGTGGCACAGATTGCTGGAAAGGTCTAAGAGACTGGTAAGTCTAATCAGTGGTGAAGTACAGCTTACCACATATGAATATTCAGTGTCATAGTGCAGAATTTGAATGAGTAGAGATGGATAATATCTCTACTAAACTAAGAATCCTAAACACAGGTAGCAGGTAAAGAAAAGTTGGATGCACATGATAATATCTTAACATCTTTACTAATACCTTAATATCTTTCTAATGGGGGAACATACTTAAATTTTCTCATGTCTTTTGGTTATTAAAATGCATTTTACCGTTTAATAAAAGCATACACTGTTCAATTGAGTAATCTGTACTACTAAGAAAATTATATGACTGACTTTCCATCTATATATGAAGATATCTGCTTGTGAGAATCCCACATATTTTTTATAATTATTTAATGATAGCTTAAAGAGGCTCTTATAACTCATTAGAATTTCTCCTTTCATTTCTAGGATTAATATTGGCATAATGTATGTTTAAAAAAATATTTTTCTTGTTTTATTATGAACATGGAATAAGGAGAAAACAAAAAAAAAATGGAATAATATATTTAAGCTTACCTAGACACCTGGATAAATTCCAGTAGACATTTTCTGACGCAGTTATAAGACCACAAGAAAACATGTTTTTTTAAAATAAATTAGGACTGAAATGATGAATCTAGGTGCAAGTTACTGGAGGTAAAAGGAAACTTTTACTAAACCAAATAGTTGCACCTCATTTTGATATTTCTTTTTCCAATTAAAACTTCCATGGAAAATAAGAAAATTTCCTGTCAACTTTAACCCATCATACAAGTAATGTTTCGAAAGTTGAAATAGTATCCTCCTAGCGAAGACTTACACTGATTCAATTAATGCAATATAGCCAGTTTGTAAAATAAGTGAAACTATAAAATACCTTTTACCACATATAACCAGATACTCACTTTAATAGCATGGCAAAATGTAGGTGAACTTGGTAAGAATTAAATAACAAAATTCCAGAACCTTCACGTGAAATATTTTACTTGTGTGGCAACAGAAAGGTGAAAACACCTTGTATTTTTCTTAAAATCAGTTAACTAAGGATGTGTTATGAGCCTGGTCTGAATGAACTTAACCAAAAAATAGCAAGAAGGTGCTTCAAATTCAGGTCAATTTGGGGGACAGTAATATACATTGTTATATAGGCTGTCCCTTCTTGCTAGAATGACAGTGTAAGGGGAGAATTTCCAAGATCAAAGGAGAATTAAATCGTGTTTAAAGAAATAACAAAATCAATGTGTTTCTGCAGGTCAGTGAAGAAAAATGCGTAGAAGCAGAAGAAGGCAGTACTGAAGGCAGTGCAAAAGATGCAGCTGAAGATGAAAAAACTGTATCAGTCTAAATTATCTTTAACCTGTAAATGTACATAATAAATTTTTTACATGACTTTTGTTGGTAATTCAGCTGACTTCTGTGGAGTTAAATTGAAGATAGGTACAAAGGTAATATCACACATTTCAGTCTATGTTCATTTGAATTTTTGGCCACTGTTACAAAAGCACTTTTTTTTTTTTTTTTTTAAGTGAGTAATGAATGCTTTATTTGTGGTAACTCACCTTCCAGTTACCTGGGCCCTTATCTTAACAGCAGTTGTGCATTTGTTGCACTCTGTGATTGCTGGTTTGACTTATAGACTGTAATTGAACTGGTAGCTGGTAGTGTCACCTCCTCTATCTTTGTATAATTTTAAGACATTTGTTTGGTCTTCCATGAAGTAAATACTGCTTTGCACTTTCTGACTGGTTATATGCATTTCTTGCTGGAGTTTCATAATGAAGTTCCAGCTTTGCTTTCTGTCACAGAAACTCGAGACAAAAAGAAAGCCCTTAAGAACCTGTAAGCCTTACAAAAGATTATTTTCTGATGGAATTAAAATTAGAGAATGTTAGTATCGTCTGTTCAGAAGACTCCTTTTCCTTCAGTAGAATGCAGAATAAATGCCATTGATACACTAGGATATACTAATGTTAAAAAGGATGATGAAATACAATTTTCCAGAATAGTGCCAGGACTATTGTCTATAACTTGCATTCCCAGTATAATATATATTAAATTATAACATTATTTTATATATCTATATTTTATATAGATATTTTTAAAAAGTATAGTGACTTCAGGTAATTTCTGTTAGTGTTTTGACATTCTCTATTTTTCACCCCTGGCTCGTTAGAGCTTTTCTTACTAGACCAGAAGAAATTTTAGTGCTCTTTGAACTGCAAGTATTTTTACTCTTACTGTCTCTGCCATTAAGTACATCACTTGTTTCCTAATTGATACTGCAGTTTTGCAAGAACAACGTAAGAGTTCAAGTAAAATATATTAAGTAATGCAATCTTGCCTAGCTTAGTGAAATGGTGTACTCGTAACCAGGTAAGTAAATAAAAGCTAAATGTGTCAGAGCACCCAAGAAGGAATGCAAATGGCAAAAGTAGCTTTCAGTGACATTACAGAAGTCTGCTTAATATATGTGCTAAAATGTTTTGTTCTATAAGTTTCTCTAGTTGGGATGACTTTTAGCTACTCATATTTCCTTTCATCTGACTAAGTTTGAAGTCGGTTAGTAGTCTACTGGGAATCTATTCCAATCTATGGTATAGATTCCTATGGAACACAAGGAATCTTTAAGTATATTCCATATCCTCTTGGACTTTTATATTCAAAGAAATGATTTTTCCTTATTAATACCTCAGACAATGAGGATGTAACTTCAAGTTTTATAATAATATCAGATGCTTATTTTTTCAAAGTGAGGTACATTCACTTGTTCACTTGAAGAGTATGGACAGACATTCTTTGTATACAGAAGCTATAAATGACCTTTATACTGAACTTTAAATACTTGTATTTTAAACCTAACCTAATGCATTGGACTAGTTTCTTGTCTGTTACTGAAGAAGCAGACCACAGTGAAATTATGTAAGTGGGAACCTACCTGGCCAACAAATGCATTCGTCTTATCTGTCTTGCGATTTGGGAATAAAGTTCAGAAGCGTCAATCTTGAATCCTCTCACCAGAAGAGGAAGGTCAAACTCTTAGGAATTGTTTTAACCTTAACTACTGGGATTACACGTAACAAAGCTCTTGTGCAGGACAGGGATAGCTTTTTTAATATGCAGTGTAGGAAAATAATTTGAAAAGAGTATAGCTGGGCTGAAAAATCCCCATTTAGTTTTGTATAGAAAGCCCCAGAAGTTTGTTACCATGCTTTGTTTCTGTCCTTTCTTCATTCCATTTCATCAACCAGTTTTGGAAGCTGCTGGTCTTTTTCAAACACCACATTTGGAAGCAGGAGCGGGGTATTGAGGGGTTTCATGAGAGTGTTCTTGCACATTTTGTGTGACCTGAGGCCTAGGGGTTGCTGGTGAGCTGTTACAAACACTTCAAAGATGCCCAAGGTTAAGTTTTAGGAGGTCAGCTGCAAATTTTAAAATTCAGATTGATGAGAAAGTGGTCTTCGTGAAGTTTGGTGCTCAGGCACTGTATATAAGATTATTTAATTAAAAATTGATATGTAGCATACGATAAATATCATATTTGTAGAGGTAGGTGAAGACAAAATTTATCGTGTGCTTGTTATTGCCATCTTTTCACTCCTAAAAATTGCTTAGGAAGAAATCTTATTATAACAAACTTGGACCTTAGTTAAAGCTGCACTATTGGGGGTGGGTTTGCATTCAGATACAACAACGATGTAATGTTTCCCATTAAGACATAACACTTGGCTATCAGATTGAAAAATATAATTTAAAACTTATTTAATTTTTAAGATGGAAAAATTGTAAATCACCAAGAGTGGATAAATTGTGTGACAAGACAAACAGTTGTCTTCCTTTGGCAGGAAGGACAAAAGGAGTTTCTTGCAACAAAATGGTTAGAAATAATTAGTTCAGTTACCACTTTCAACATTCTTGTTTATGAATGAAACATGCATGTTGCTTTCTGTAAGTTTTCAATGGCAACCTCATGGCAAATATGAAACTAGCCTGAAACAAAAATTTGATAGGAAAAAGTTGAATTTGGAGTTGAAATTGATTTTGAATACTGAATCAAGTACAAATTTGATTTTTTTTAATGTATTTATTTTTCCAGAGTTCCTTCCCTTTGCTATTTCTCTCCCCCGCGATGGGTGAACTTTGCAATTCCAAGACAAGGCCAGTAGAGAGAAGTTCCTTGCCAGACCTGCCCCACTGGATGAGCCGGTGAGAGCAGAGAAGGATCCCGGCCCGGGAGCCCTGCTGGCTCTGCTTGCCTCAGTACCCCTGCCCAGCAGGAGAGGAGCGAGAGCCCCTCTGCAGGGATGCGACCCTGCACCTCAGCCGGTGGGGACTCCAGGAAGGAGATGCTTGGAAGAGATCTGGAAGTCATATTTCTGCGTGCCAGCGTTCTCACAAAATACAGTGTTTCCAGCAGTTAAAAATCACATAAGAGACAGTGATGTCCACTTTGTTTCTTAGAGGCAGGGTGATTGTGACTGTGCTTCTCAAAGGAGGGGGAGATAAGCATTCCCAGTCTCTTTTGCCAGATGGGTTCAGGGCCATGCTTTGGAAGGAAACATCTGTGGGTGCTTTGAGAAAGGTCATATCCCCAAATCCCCGAGTATTCCCTACCCAGTCTGTTTCAAGTAGTGCTGCTATTAAAAACGGTTCTCTGGGGTCTGGGAGATTCCTTGGGCAAGAACAAGTGAAAACAGCCCGGCCTGGCCATTCTGTCTACACAGACGCATGGAGATCTGGGCTTCGGGGACTTGGGATCGGGCCCACTTCCATATTTTACCATTCACTCTTGAATGTAAAATCACAGAATCACAGAATGCTTAAGGTTGGAAGGGACCTCTAGAGATCATCTAGTCCAACCCCCCTGCACACACAGGGTCACCTAGAGCACATGGCACAGAACTGCGTCCAAGTGGGTTTGGAAGATCTCCAGAGAAGGAGACTCCACAACCTCTCTGGGCAGCCTGTTCCAGTGCTCTGTCACCCTCACTGTTAAGAAATTTTTCCTTAAGTTCCTATGGAATTTTTG